CTTAAAATCCAACACTTCTACACAAACAAGATGGGGGGGTGGTGATTACAACAAAAGAAGGTGAAGCTACTCTATGCATCTGTGTTGAAAGTGTCATCTCAGAGAACTCATCCCTGCAGACACACCGGGCAGCTGCTGCACTCTTGCATGTCACTGTAATATTCCTTAAGGGAGGCCATGCTCCACAGCGGGTCAGCCTCTCAGTGCTGGTGGAGGCCTGTCGTGATAAAATTCCCTTTCTAGGCAGCCTTTCTACAGGAGCATAATCCTATGTGTGTCCTAATAGGCTGGAGCAGTTTGCCAGGGCTGCCATAACATGCACGCTGACTGAATGGCTTAAACCACAGAAATCTGGTTCCTCACAATTCTGGAGACTGGAAGCCTAAGTCAAACTGTCAGTCTGGGGTGGTTTCTCTGGGCCTCTCTCCTTGCCTTAGCGATGGCTGATTTCTTCTCAGTCAGGACAGGGTCTTCTCTTGAATTTCTCTGTGCACTGACCACCTCTCCTTGTAAGAAGCGCAGGCCTATTAACTTAGGGGCCACCCTAATGAACTCACTTCTCCTGAATTACCTCTTGGAGAACTCTGTGTCCAAACACAGTCACATTCTGAGTCTCTGGGGTTGAGAATAGAAACAGTTACATTTGGGGGAGGGGACACAATTCAACCCATAAAATACACAAATCCCCTGCGGAAGACACACACCCGGGAAAGGGAAATCTGGGTGAAAGGATGTGCAGATAGCAAGTTTCAACAGGTGTGGCCAGTTGACTTTCCAAAAGGGCTCCAGCTGCTCACAGGGTCACCAGCAGCCTCTGAACGTAGCTGCTTCTTTGAACACAACCTCCCCTGAATACTAACATGTTCTTAACTTTTTGTCAATCTGCTGTCTGTGTGGCAGGGAGAATCACCTTGTTTCATTTCCACTTTAAACCATACATTTCCGTAAGCTTTCCCGCTTTCAATACCTGCCTGCGTTTTCTCTTCCACGAGTCGCCTGGCAGATCCTGGGCCTTGGGATGCGCTTCCTCCCACCCTGGAGTCTTCCGGCACTTTCCCCTTGACCAGGGCTGGGATGGCCGTAGCTGTTTCACATTCATGTTAAAGAACAAAAACAATCATATCCCTTTAAGTCAAAGGGTTCTTCTAGAGCATCTTGTCCGGTGTGCTGTCACTAAAATAAGGAGGGGATGAGACCTCCCCAGACCCTTCCCTTCCATATAAGAAGCAGAGCCTCAGGTGGCCTAGAGGGAATTTCATCCAGTCCTCCCTGTGGAAGGTGCTCTCTTCTGACCCGGCTGCTGCTGAGCAAGCATCTGACATCCAAAAGCCCGCGTCTCCTCTTCTCCACCATGAGGGTGATTTTTGAGGAGTGCAGGGATGATGCTCTTCATGCAGGCTGTTGATACAGAGGGTGCTGTTGCCCCACAGCTCACATTCACCATGCTGATGCCTTGAAGGCATGAATCATTTTATCCTTCCCCATCCTCACATGCAATTTTACCTTGAAAGCCTAGAACCCTTTTCACCATGGGCACCCAGGTTCTCCACATGCACAAGTCCCTAAGGGTTGATGCTTCTTGGTGTGAGTTCCAGATCCCGATCCTCTGGTGGTTCATGGTGTTACCACTGACTCTCATGTCCTCCTTGTCCCCCTAGTATGAAAATGAGATCTGCAGGATGCCAACTTTCCAGCCCAGCACAAGGGAGAAGCTGTTGGAGTCCCTGGTTCCAGCCTTTCTAACTAAACCCATCTCCTCCTATGCCACCTGCCTGGGTCCTCCTGGGACTTTATCACCGTGCCACACTTTTTGGAACTACTGGTTAGAAGGTGAGTGTCCATCCCCTCCAAGGCACCGAGGTGCCTCTGTCCCCTACTGGCTGTGTCTTGAAGATGCACCTCTTGGAGCCTCAGTTGGCTCCTCTGGAACAGGGAGTAATGAGAAGATGAACCTCACAGGGTTCTTGTAGGGACTGAATGATCTAAGACACAGCTAACAAAGGGGTCCCTAGAGCCTAAAACTCTGGACAATCTGCTGTGGGTGCTGTGATTCATGTTTATTACTTTTCTCTTCCCCCTCACTGAAGCAGCTCTCAGCATTCTGCCACAATGGCCCATCTCTCTTCCTGTTTGGAAAGGCACATAGAAAGCAAGTCTGCAATGGCATTGGTAAACGATGTCTGAGTTTCCTTCTGGCTGGACTTTCTCCTTGATACAGACAGAAGTGGGGTCCCTTCATGCTGAGAAAGGAGCCACAGGCCCTCTCTGACATCTGGAGAGGCTCACTGAGTTTCTCCAATGGTTGGGGTTCACTCATTCAACACATACATACAAAACACTTCATTTGTGCATCGTTCTTCTTGTGACTTGGCATAATTTCATAAACAAGGCAGATGACAATCCCTGGGCCTCAATTCTACTCAGAGTCAGGTGCTCACAGTAGACACAATAAACAAATGGTATCTTCAGAATGTTAGAGGTGAAACCCTCATGGCCTCCTCTACGTATGGTGGCATCCTCCCAGATCCTGACTAGAATGACGGAGCCCAACAAGTATCAACTGGGGGGACTTAGGGTTCTGAAGGGCCTCTTCACCCACAAAACATGGGGGGAAATATGTGGACTCTGGCTGGGGAGAGACTAAAGGAGCCCTGGGGTTCATATGTCTTGTAATTCCCACAACAAGGCTGACATCTGGGGACTTCCCCTGCACGAGGCAAATAGTGAGTTCTGTAAATGGAGACTTAGGTCCCTTGCAAAGGAGACGTGAGGTTGAGGTCACAACTGGCCACTGAGAGACCCATCCCCAGCACCGTGCCTTCCCAGCTCTCCCTGTCCTCCTCCACCCAACATCTGCCCCTACCCTCCTCACCCCAGGACCAGAGCTGGAGCTTTAATGAGCAAGCTGCTCACAAATCTGCCTGCAGCTGCAGTCCTGAGTGCCCAGGTGCACAGTGCTGTGCTCCAGGGCCATTGGGAAGAGAATGTCAGTGGGACGCTGGGGCGCAGAAGGGTCCGTACAGCCCTGCTACATGGCCAGGTCTGCCCCTTCCAGGACAGCACTGATGGCTTGGGGTAGGGTGGGGCTGTCCTCTACACAGGCAGCAAGAGGCCAGGGACCCAGAACCACACAAGGGTGCCCTGGAGGGTTGTGTGGGAGAAGGCCAGGCCTCTAACTCAGCTGTCCACTCCATCACCAGCACCACCGGCTCCATTTTGTTCACCTGGCCCCCTGAAAACACTTCAGTTTGTGGCCAGGCCCTGCAACGGTCATCTTTCTGGATAAAGCTGGCCTTCAGGACCTTCACCTGGCCTGGACTGGGCTTGGAGGACCATCAGGGAATTGTCCTAGGCCAGTTGGTGCTTCCGGAGCCCAAGGAGGCCAAGCCAGATGGTGAGAAGACTTTCCAGGGCTGGTGTTTTCGGGGTACAATTCCCTTAATTTCCATCCAGTCATTTCTATACTTGGAAATCCCAGTGAGGAGTGACTGGAATGGTGACCTTTTCTCCTTTTCCAGATCCTGCTCCACCTCCTGGGCAACACGCATTAACAATGCTGGCCCTGGAGCCAGCGCCACCACTGCTGGCGGAACTGCCGCCTGCTCTGGAGCCAGAGTCACCTGTAGCCCTGGATGCACAAGGATATCGACATTCAACACCAGCACCAGCACCAGGGGAAGGGCCCCCTCCAGGAACAGTGCTGGAGCCACAGTCAGCCCCAGAGTCACCCTGTCCCTCTCCCGGGACTGTCAAGAGCCAACACACTGAGGAGCGGCCTGACATCACCACCTTCCTCCCAGGCTGCTGGCAGAGCAGCTGACCCTCATAGATGCGGTGAGCAGCTGGGCTTTGCAGGCTGTGCGTCTGGCACCAGCTGTCTCAGACCAGCCTCTCCCTGAAGAGCAGCCAATGCCCTGGGTCCAGTTTCAGCCCCACTTCTTACCAACCATGGGATCTGGATGAGTTTCCTCACCCACAAGCCTTCCCTGTCTGCATGTGGACAGCAGAGATGGGAAATCACCCGCACCAGCTGCACAGAGTGACTGTGCAGACTGAATGACAGGGGATGGACAGAAAGCAGGACAGGGCAGGTGATCAGTGAGGGGCAGGCAGGGCCATGGGTCACTCACCCAGCTGCTCAGGAGCCTCACTACCCTCAGCACTTATTAGGTATCTCATGCATATTAGATTCTATGGCAGACACCCAAACAGAGCCCAAGGTTGCAGTTGCTGCAAGGAAACTGCACCGGTATGGAGAGAAGGAGTAGAGGGCTGATTGGGATGGGAGGAAGTAGAGGCCTCAGGATGGGCAGGCCTGAGCCACCTTCTAGTTCTTGGAGTGAGAATGGCCTGGAAGAAAACGTCACTCTCACTTTCCACCCTTGTTGGGTTCTGCGCCATGATGCATTCAGGGCCCTCGGTGGGCAGAAAACCAAATGCAGGGACTCCCACAGGTCTGGAGCATATTTTAAAGCTTTCTGAGCTCCAGCTCTGTTCATGCCAGAGACTGTGGATGACTGTGAGCTCACTTCCTGCCTGGGACTGTGGGTGACTCTGAGCTGGGCTGTGCTGTGTCCGTGACACTCTCCTCCTCCCCCAAAGGAGCTGTTCAAGAAGGTGGAACTCTACGAATGCATGGGCTCCATCTGGGGCCAACGACATCAGAAGGGGAGTGAGCATGTGGCACCCACAGTTTGTGCCACCATTGCACACTTCAACAGGCTCACCAACTGTGTCACCACCTCCTGCCTCGGGGACCACAGCATGAGGGCCCAGGACAGGGCCAGGGTGGTGGAGCACTGGATCAAGGTGGCCAGGGTAAGCCATGGTTGGGCCTTGGGATTCCCTCTCAAAATGGGGAACTGCCTCTTCTCCGCCATCGGCTTTCAGGATTGGCATCTGTATCTCTAGCCTGAGCCCTGCACATCCCCTAAGCCCTTCTTCCCAGAGCTTCCCTGACCTTGACCCCCATGGCCCAGTAGTGGCTGCTCACTTCTGACCTGGGATCTTCCTTGGGTTGAACTGAAATCTTCCTAGATGAGTGACATTCACTCAGCCCCAGGTGTACCCTCCTGAGGCTCCCTGGGCCTCTGCTTCATTCAGGAAGGGAGATCTCAGCAGAGGGGGCTGAGGCTGAAGTGGGTCGGACTCCAACTCTGGACCTCACAGCTCACTCTTCCCTCTCCAGGAGTGCCTACGCCTCAACAACTTCTCCTCAGTGCACGCCATCGTCTCTGCTCTGCGCAGCAACCCAATACATCGGCTACACAAGACATGGGCAGGAGTGTCCAGGTGAGGAGCTCCCTCCACGGGAGCACCAGAGTTGACCTAGGGACCCATAGGTCTCCCCATGTGCCCTCAACGACTCTGAAAGCTTCTTGGAGAACAGGGACGGTGGAGGTAGGGATGGGCTGGTGGGTGTGCTCACTAAGCTGCCCTGGACTCCTAGGCAAGGATTTCTAACTCAGGAGGAAGGTTTTTTAACCATCAGGAACAGACTGGAGCCAATTGGAGGCTTTCAGGTGTTTGTACCCAGCAGTGGAACTGTGTCCAGCTGGAAGCTAACTGTGAACACGCAGGGGCTCATGTGAAGTGGAGATGGGCCAGGGGAGGAGCATGACAGTCACACCCTGGTCCTCTGGAGCCCTTGTCATCAGACGACCCCACTGGAAACTCTCACGCAGGAAGCCGAGATTCATTGAGTTTTCAAACAAAAGGGATTGGAACTCACAAATCTCCCCCGTGATTCCCAAATTTACCCTTTTTTCTTTCCTCTGTCAATAGCAAGAGCACAAAATATCTAAAAGAACTCTGCAAAAAGGACACTGCAGTGAAGAGGGACCTGCTGATCAAGGTACAGTGGAGTCTGGGAGATGCGGCACAAGTGTTTAAGGGTCTGAGAAAAGAGTGAGTTTGGAAGGGCATTGGACCTGGTGTGCAGTGGTTATTTTGTAATGTTTTGACTTACCTACAAAAAGTGCACTTGAAAAATTCCCTCCATGCCTACTTTGGGCAAACAGGAGGAAAGGTGTGTGGGTCCATGGGCGCGTGGGGGCACGGGGACAGGAGGTCCTGGAAATGGGATGTGGCAATGGCTGCTGGGCTTCTGAGCGGGGATGATGAGCTGCAGCATTAGCAGGGATCTGGCTCCCACGCTGGTCAATGCTGCTGGCATGGAGCTTCCTCCAGGCTGGCGGGTGGTCATTGTAGGTGGGACTTTCTTCCTTCCTCAAACTGGCAGCAATTCCTCAGGAAGCCAGGCCTCTGCTGCTGCATCTGTCTGCAGCGCACCTCCATGGGCAGGGACTGCAGTCCACACTGGGGGAAACAACAACAGAGGAAGCTCATGTGCCAGGGAGTCCAGTAGACTGCCCAGCTATGGGTACCAATGGGCAAACTCAGGACACATGTATGTGCTTGCTGGGACTCCCCGCTCTGCCCTTTGCAGACATCTGAAAATGGTCGTGTCACAGGATTCTCACAAATTAGCAGTGACAAAGGCTCATGACAAGTATCTGGGGGATCCATGCATTCCTAGGGGATCCTCCCCAACCAGATCTCCGAAACTCCATGCAAATGAGAAGGCAACATGCCACCCCACCCAGGATTCTGGAAAACCCTGCCATATCCGTCAGAGATGTCGCCTCAGGAGGCCACATCCTGAGTGGAGGAAGAGAGAGTTCTGTGCATGGAACTCCCCTGGGGGATCACTGACGAGGCCAAACCGTGGATTTGGCATGGCGCAAACCCAGTTTGTGTGGCAGAGACTCCGGTGGGGCTCAGATACGCAGGTGCCATTTAACCAGGTCTCCTAAAATGCCCTGTCCCTTTCCCATCACGACTCTGCAAGGCTGGAGTCCTAGACACTCAGAGACTCCAGAGAACAAGACCCTGATGGGTGGTGGTGCTGGGATGTGGGGTGAAGGCAGCCGAGACAGAGCCTCCAGTAGGGGAGGAGGTGCCCTCTCTTTTGGGGCCCTGGGGAGTCACTGCCCACTCTTGGTCTCTGTTTCTTTATCTGGAAAATGAAGGGATGCTGAGCCTGTAGTGCGGGCCTCACAGGGTGGAAATGAGGTTCGAGAAAAGAAAGCAATTGGAGGGTGCTCCTGAATGGTTCTTCCTCAGAGGGATGAGGGGGAGAACAATGACAACAGCTACAGGAAACAGTACTCAGGAGGCCCTGTGAGGTAGCTGTGGTTTTCATGGCTCTTTACAGAAGAGGAAACAGTCTCAGGGAGGCCTGGCTGTATGATTGGGTGCACACACAGGGAGTGTGGAGCTGGCCAGTGGTATGAACACTGTGCCAGGTGACTCACGCCAGTCCCTGGGGTTCCAAGTGTGGGGTGGCTGGGGTATAACTGGGGGAAGGGAAGACAGCCTCACTGTCCCTGTCCCTGACACCTGGCAGGCGGGGAGCTTTAAGGTGGCCACCCAGGAGAGGAACCCCCAGAGAGCCCAGATGAGGCTGCGGAGGCAGAATAAGGTGAGTGAGACTGTGGCATGGAGGGACCGCAGGGGATCAGAGGACAGGGCTCTTTTCCCCACCAGCTGGAGACCTCCGTATCAAGACAGCGGGGGCTTCCTCCCCAGCCCTGTCCTCCTATGGCCACTGGGCCTGGAAAACCTCCATTGGAGAGACCAGAGCAAGGGTCTGGGAAAGCAGAACTCAGAGTGGATGTGGGGAAGGGTAAGGCTGGGACCACAGGCCCTTGTGACTTGTTAAAATCCCACCATAGAGGTAACTAGGAGTGATTGCCAGACTTGGAGGTCAGCTGGAAGAGAGGAGGCAGAGAATAGGAAAAGGTAGCTGAGGGTCTTTGGCTGCTACAACTGGGAGACCTGGGGAGGGGGGTTCTGGGAGACAGGGGCTGATGGGATTTCATGGGACAGGGCCTTGGGCAGGCACCTCAGGGTCAATACTCATCACCACTACCCCTCCCACCTCCCCACCCCTCCATGGCACAGGGCGTGGTCCCCTTCCTGGGGGATTTTCTAACTGAGTTACACAGGTTGGATTCGGCCATCCCGGATGATCTGGATGTGAGTGAGCCTGGGGCAGGCTGGTTGGGAACCAAGATCCTGAGGCTTTGGAGGAGAGGGGCCTGGACAGAGCCCTTAGATCTCAGTCCTTGGAAAACCTCCTCTCCTGAGAGTCTCACAGCTGCTCCTGTGGGAGGGGGTGCCAGGCCCATCTCATTACCTCTGACTGACAGAGGCTCCATGGCAGTCACCAGTCCCTATCCCTGAGTGGTGAAGCTGCAGAGCTGCCTGACTGCAACGATGCTGAGCTGTGGGCTGAGCTGGACTCAGCGTCTCCCTAGGGTAGTCCCATAATAGGAGGGTGAAATTGAGCCTTTCCAAGGGCAGGCAATTCCAGGGTCACTGAGCACTTTCTTTCTACGAGAGACCTCAGTTTCTCTGTCTGTCATCTCAGAGGGTTGGGGCAGAAGATCCCTGAGCCTCAGCTCCCATGCCCCCCGCCCTAGACCTCGGAGCCTGAGGCAGGTTCAAGTTCTGTCATGTGCACATCCCCTGACCCTGGTGGCCCTGGCAGTAGTGCAGCATGGGAAGGGATGGGGTGGGGCTGTTGTGGGCCAGGGACCTTTCTGATGGGCTCTATCTGACTTCCAGGGCAACAGCAACAAGAGGAGGAAGGTGAACAGCTGGGGCATTCTCGTTGGATGAGGTTGGGGATGTGGACGTCACAGTCCACCCTGGGCAGGACACTCCCTGGCTCCATCCTCTACATCTTAGGTTTACTGGGAGGGTTTGACACACACAGGAGGAGGAGGAGACCTATCCCAGTGGAGAGAGTGGGAAAGGCACTGGAATCAAAGACCAGTTCCTGCAGGAGGGGCTGTTCACATCCAACTCTGAGAACAGGCTGGGGGCTGCATGGGGCCCCTTCACAGAATGGCCCCAGGGACCAGCCCCTTCTCCCTGCCTGCCAAAGGTCCCCTCAGTGTCTTCCACCCAGGCCCTGTCAGCATCCTGTCCTCTGTCTCTAGGAGGTCCGAGTTCTGCAAGAAATGCAGCTGCTCCAAGTGGCTGCCATGAATTACAGGCTTCGGCCTCTGGAGAAATTTGTCACTTGTTTCTCAAGAATGGAGCAGCTCAGTGAAAAGGAGAGGTGAGGGCCTGGCACATGGGCAGAGGGTGGGAGAAGGCTCTCCATTTTTTTTAACGTGGTCTGGCTCTGTCGCCCAGGCTGCACTGCAGTGTCACCATCTCTGCTCACTGCAACATCTGCCTCCTGGGCTCAAGCCCTTCCTCAGCCTCCCAAGCAGCTGGCACTACTGCTATCCACCACCGTGTGCGGTTGTTCTCCTGTTGTTGTTCTGGTACAGGTGGGGTTTCACGATGATGTCCAGGCTGGTCTCAAACTCCTGGCCTCAAGCAATCCACCCACCTCAGCCTCCCAAAGTACTGACAGTACAGGTGTCAGCCACCCCACCTGGCCTAGAGGAGGCTCTCCTGTGGACAGCTGCAGAGAGCCTATGGCCATGACTCCACCGCCAGCATCAAGCCCTGTTGCATGGGGACTGCTGGGGACCCAGGATTCCAGCTGGGCAGGCAATGAGAAGGGACCCGATGTGTGGCTCATGGTGGCCTCACAGCTGCCTCTCTGTCCTGCAGCTACAAGCTGTCCTGTCAGCTGGAGCCCGAATCCCAGTAGGCTGGAAACATCCTGCAGTGGCTGGGGCCCTATTGGGATGCTGGCCAGAACACCGGCTCTGCATCATCCTTCACCCAGACCGGAGACACCAGGAAATCACATCTAGGTGGCTGGCAGCTCAGCTACATCTTGACCCCGCTCCTCAATACCAGCTGCTCCTGCTGGCCAGGATCAGGTCATGGGACTTTTGCATGTCAGGCGGGAAACCATTTTATGTTTATTTTCTTTAGTGTATAAGTAACGGGTTTTTTTCTTAGCTTTCGTTAAAATAAAATTTTAAAACACTATTCAGAATGTTCTATAGTTGTTGGAATGAGAACAGTAACTCCAGTGCAGTAACCGTATACCAGTCTTTAGGATTTATAGTCTAGCATGTCAAATTGAGGCTATGGCTGAACAAGTCATGGAATAGCGTTCGCGTTACACCTGCCAACCGTTTAATGTTTTCCTTCTTTATTCAAATTAATTATTGCTAACTCTGTTTAAGGAAAACAAAAAATAAAACAAACAAACAAAAAAACACTGAAAAACCACAGTATGTCACCCAATCTATGTCACTTGTTCTACTGACCAGTTACTCTCAAACTTAAATTCTAGTTAAATTCAAGTTCCACTGGGTTACTCTACTTTTTTAAGTTGTAAATATTGAATGAATCACTTAAATATTTACTGAAGGGCTGGAGATGGGAGGTATTTATGCCAGTGGTAGGGCTGGCCTTCTCCAGAAGTCCTGTGCACAAGGGAGCTGGCCATGAGTCTCCAGGAAATACAGATAAACTTTTCCCACTATGGATCTTCCCAGACTTTCTGACACCTCTCCCCTAAGGGAACATCAAGGAAGGAGAGAATTGTTTGAACCCAGTATCTAAAGGATGTCCCACAGCTTAATTTGAACATAAGCCCCATTGTGGTATATCAGATAAAAAGAAGTCAAAGAAATCAACATTTCAGGGTCTGAAATATGATACCCCCAAATCAACACAAAATAAACACTTCAATCCCATCCTGGAGCCACAAAGCTCCTATAGGAAATGTGGGAGTTTATTTCAGCAAAACTTGTATCTACGCATGCAGTTTGCAAAAAAGAAAGAAAACAAAAGCAAAAATTATCTATGGCAGCAAACCCTTAGGCCATGCAATTGATTTGGCATTACTTTTTCTTTCTTATTTTTTGTTCTTTTTGGATGGGACACCAAAATCACTGCTAACAAATATAAATACAAACACATGGGACTATACATCATTTGAGAGCTTCTGCATGGGAAAGAGAAACAATGAACCATTAAAGAAGGCATCCTGATGAGTTCATGTCCTTTGTAGGGACATGGATGAAGCTGGAAACCATCATTCTCAGCAAACTATTGCAAGAACAGAAAACCAAACACCGCATGTTCTCACTCATAGGTGGGAGTTGAACAGTGAGAACACTTGGACACAGGAAGGGGAACATCACACACTGGGGCCTGTGGTGGGTTCGGGGGTTGGGGGAGGGATAGAATAGGAGATATACCTAATGTAAATGATGAGTTAATGGGTGCAGCACATCAACATGGCACATGTATGCATATGTAACAAACCTGCACGTTGTGCACATGTACCCTAGAACATAAAGTGTAATAATAATAAAAAAAAGAAGGCATCC